CAAACAAATGTTCTTATGTTTCTAAAGTAAGGAAAGCCAGCGAATAAAACAAGAAGCTACAACAGTACAATCAGCTTGACCAGCTGCACAGGCAAAATTTTAAAAAGAGTAATTAGTAATAGACTCCACATTTCTAGAGATCTCATCAAAATTACCCGAAGTACAAAACGGTTTGAGAAACTACAGACTATCTAGTTAGACTAACTGAAACCACAGTCGATAGTTTTAACCAAGACAAATTCACTGTCGTCTGATTTCTCGATATAGAGAAAGCTTCGACACTGTATGCCAGTGTATGACACAACGGTCTACATTACTGGATGAAACAAATTGAACTACCGACAAGTGTTATTCGCTGGTTATTTAACTTTTTAGATAATATAAAATGTAGAGTGAATTTGGAGGCAACCTGCTCTAGAGTATTTGAGGCGGGTGTGTCCCCCAGGGAGGGTTAGTTAGCCCTATCTTTTTCATCATGTATGTAAGCGACATGCCCCTAACAGATCCAAATTTTTGTCTATCATCTCTATTCGCAATTTTGGTATAAGAGTTAGTATAAATGATCACATATAAGGTGTAATAGACTTAAAATAAGACCCAAAACTCGAGCGCTTTCGAATAGTTGACCATTGTTCAGGAGAACAATAGACCCTGAAGAAGAATAGTCAACTATTCGAAAGCGCCCGAGTTTTTGGTCTTATTTTAAGTCTATTACACCTCGCAGGTGATGTGACGAAATAGAAGAGTTCCACAACTCCTCAATAGCAGCCACGAGCCCATTGTGGCATAGCGGAATGTCTGCGGACTTACAACACTAGAAACCGGGTTTTGATACCCGTGATGGGCAGAGCACAAATAGCCCATTGTGTAGCTTTGTGCTTAACTTCAAACAAAAAGCAGCCACCAATTTACAAACAGTTCTTTATTAAATAGTGGAATATTGTCAGAAGAACACAATTAAAACAAACGTGCCAAAACAAATATGGTAGTAACCTCCAAAAAAAAAAAGATAAAAAATATATAGACATAAACCAGAATTATACCTCAATGGAACTCTTCTATATACCATCACATCAGCAAAATTTCTTGGTCTAACATACGATTCGAAATTAACATGGAAAGGTCATATTACAAATAAAGTATGGCAACGAGAAAACGCTAGGGGGCTGTTGGGTAAAAATAACGGTATACCACTAGAATATATCATTAAAATCTATAAACAGTACACACGCCTAGTAATTGAATATGCCAGTCCAGCATGAACTAATGTTGCACCATCCAGTATTAACAAATTACTAAGAATACAAAACTCGGTAATTACTATAGGTTATAGAGTAGCCAGAACAATAAATTCTACATTCATGCACAAATACGCAACTATACAACCAATCCACGACAGACTCGTAGAATGCTCGTTCAAGTATTTTGATTAAGATCTATATAAGAATGATTTATTAACCTCAATAGATCGTTATATCATACATGATGATGATAGTCTTAAGTATCGCTCACCACTCAATATGTAATCAATATGAAAAAGTCCACCTACGCTATACAGAAAAAATATCGTTTAGATTAAATTGTCAAAAGTGTATTTGAAAAGGGTATTTTATGTCAAGTAAGTGTTCGATAACGCGATCAGGTGAAAATGTAACGATTTGTCAATGGAACTGTTTGCGAGAGTATAACGATCAAATGAAGAAAAGTGACAAATTAACACTAAATGCTACAGAATAACATTCGTGGACATAGCCCTGAAAAAAAGAGAGAAGAAGCATTAGTGTACATAGTATTAGTGTGTGTGTGCCCTAATCTCATAATATTAATATACAATTTCACACAAAGCATCTAAAAGCACAACAAGATTGAACGTAGTTCAGCACCTGGCCCTAAAGCCAACGTAGTTCATCACCTTGCCCTCCAAGATCAACATTGTTCAGTAGTGTTGCGAGATGTTTCTTAATACGATATAAAGCACGAAAAAAGAGAAAGACACACTCCTACCGGTCGTGTCAGTAGGTTCAATATTTTATTCGTTGTCTTATATGTATTTTATTTCTCGGTTATTAATTGATCTGAATATTTTACACGGGTTTGCCATTTAGAGCGGTTGTCGATATACAATTGGCTGTTCACAATCTAGCATCAGAGAAAAAGTACTGAAATAATGATTCACATAAAAATTAGACAGAGCGTATTGTGTGTTTGGAGTTAAGCCCAAAGCTACACAACAGGCTCTCTGTGCTCTGCCCTCCACAGGTATCGAAACCCGGTTTCTAGTATTGTAAGTCCGCAAACATGCCACTGGGCGAGGTGTATCGTGTGTATGAATTTACTGTTTTAACATTCTTCAGCAGTTTCATGTGCAGCACAGAATAACAATACACACTAAACGTCAGAGAACAGTTAGAGAAAATTAATCTTAACACGTGCTTTCTAGACATAGCTTTCTGTATCACCCGTTTTGCTTTTTTAATTCTGCCCATGTCTGAACGCTTGGAGACCCATTCAAGCCGTCTCCAAGCATTATTGGCCATGCCTTAATTTGCACTTTTATAAATACGTTGAAACATCATAACCTTTCAAGTATTAGGACTAAACAGGAATGCGTTTATGTGGAAGAAAGATATTAAAACCATTTGAAAGTCTGGAAGAACCCGTAGGCGCATTATAGTAGTGACAGTCAATTCCTACTATTCGATTAAAGTTGTCGACTATCTATCTTTAGCTATTCAAGCGTTTCTGAAACTGGGGTCCAATTCAAAAGGGTGTTGGGAGGTAATAAATTTAAGTGAAATAACGGATTATTCTAGAGTGTGTACAGCAATTTGCTATCACTTCGTGTGTATGTGGGGGGTCGTCACAAACTGAAATATTTTCAAAGGTGGGCCCAGCAAGAAAAAAGGGGGGTCGAGAACCCCTACTCTAGTCATCAGTTCAAAAGTAGGGACGTCTAGCGCAGGTAGATTTTGTGTGTCTTGGAGCAAATGTCAGTAAATCGGTCGATCCACGGAAGTTTTGTTTGGTTGTTATTAAGCGCAAAGCTACACAACAGGTTTTCTGTGCTGCGTCCGCCACGAGTATCGAAATTCGGTTTCGAACGTTTTTAAGTCTTCAGTTTTGTTGCTGAGTCTCGAGGAATCATTAGAAACATGAACAATGCTCAGTCACTGGAGGGTGGGGGCACGCAAGAGAATCTACGCAAACAAGAAAATATCGTCATTCATCCCTCGTGCAGTAGATGAACCCAGCAGCCACAGAGTTGCGTGGATATCTACATTATAAACAGAAACGTGCTTTAATATTTCATTGCGTATCTGAAGCTGGTAAACTTTGAAAGGGAATAACCCATTCTCCACGGTGGTACAAAAATCCTAATTCGCACCACAGTGCTCTAGATGGGGATACGTCTGCGATTGACCTAAATGTAAGGAATATTTCTTAATATATCTCCATGATTTGTCTTTCTATGCTATCATGAACAATACAAGTACTGGTTATTATTCTGTAGGTTAATTATTCCACATAAATTAACTGAGAAAAAATGTTTTGATAACAGCTTATTTAAATACAAATTCCATAGTATTTTAGAACCTGATAATAAAAGCTTCTAAACGCCTTATAATATATACAGCCAATCTAAGAAAGCTATATTCCAATGCAACCCAGTCGTTGTACGAGACGAGAGATGATAAAGTTTTGGTGCTGCCATCTCTAGGAAATATTACAAGTACATTGACTTCATCACTAAAAATCATGTTCTACTACGACTTTATTTTAATACCAAAACTATAAACACCATTTTGTAAAAAGAAAAAAAAGTTTTGATAAATATTTCAAGATTTAAAGTTCGCGATATGTATTTATTCTTGTTTTCAACATATTATCATCATTCATTTAAAATAGACATCTGAATTTTCTCCACAGCGGATTTTTTTAATATTTCATAATTATCTGATAGGTGGCATTAGCTTATTACTTACAAAATTAGTTAATTTGCATTATTACAAAATTGATCTACGTTAATGAATGTTTAATAATTAGTGTCAATATACTTTTCTTGTCACCACAGTTTGTTTCAGCATAATCGAATAGACTAGTACATATTTTGATAAGTACTTAACCTGCAGGGAAACAAGGGTAGAAATTCTTTGTAAAATCAGCACATCGTTCTCTAAGGCATGTTTTCAATATTTCTGATAAGTTCAAACAGATTTGTTTCATGTTATCAATTACCTTGCTTTTAAGTTCTATATTCACACTTTACCCAACGTATAAGTGATGTTCAATATTTGGTGTTATACTGGAGGGTGGACGTTATCTTCAACTATCTCTAAATAAAAAAAAAAGGTAATTTTTCTTACTCATCAGTGTTATACTGGAGGGTGGACGTTATCTTCAACTACCTCTAATAAAAAAGGTATTTTTCTTACTCATCAGTGTTATCCTGGAGGGTGGACGTTATCTTCAACTATTCTAATAAAAAAAAAGTATTTTTCTTACTCAGTGTTATACTGGAGGGTGGACGTTATCTTCAACTATCTCTAATGAAAGAAAGTTATTTTTCTTACTCATCAGTGTTATACTGGAGGGTGGACGTTACCTTCAACAATCTCTAAAACGAAAGGTATTTTTTGTTTACTCATTAGCACTCGAGGGTGGACGTTATCTTTCAACCATTTCTAAAAAATAAAATGGCATTTTTCTTACTTATACCTGCACTGTTATCTGTCTTAAAGAATTGATTTGGAAGGTTAGAATTTTTCTATTTTATCTCCATATTAAGTAACCATATACAATCCCCATACATCATACTGTAAAAACATGAAAAATCTTAGAATACTGATTAAAGAGCCTCTTACGATAGACATAGTAGGTTCGAAAAAGCATTTTCTCCCCCTAACCCCCACAAAAACTCAAAACTAAAAAGGTTTTTTTTTAAATGACAGTTAAACATTAGAGGGTTCTTAACCTCTACTGAACACACACACACACTTGGCTTCCAAAAGGTATCTTTATTGACGTAAGCCAGGACATAAGACACTTTTCTTGAACCAGAAGGCTCGACCTGAAATGGTGGTCTTATCGATGAAAACGAACTTTTAACCAATCAACATTTATATATTTCTATAACTCGGACGGAGCTAACAGGCACATCATTACAGGCATTTTCAGCTATCTGATATTAAATTGCTGTATAAAACATTATCTTTTCTTTCTTTTACATAAAGTCTAGATTATCTATAAACAAGGCATGAAATACTTAGTTTCTATAAAGTTTGGTGCATTTCTAAGTGGTCATCGCCTTACAATTTGACAGATCGACGGTCTAGTCCCTATGACATCTACTTTGTTGACTTTGTCTAAAAAGATAATATATCAAGTAAATGCGCAAATATATATAGTATAAAAAAAACATGCAATTTTTATTTTCCCATCAACAGCGCGTTTTTACTACCAGTAAGAACATAAAAGGTTTGCTTGGCGTTACACTTACAAAATATGGTAAAATGTACATGATAAGTGTATATATATACACACACACACACACACATACATACATACATATACCTGTACACATACATACAACAGCTTCATTGTAATATTTTTTTTTCTATGAAGTTCAGGCATCTCTTACACGTTATGGCTGAGAGCAACACACACACAATTCACTGAATAATTTGATCATACTAATAGCTTTGTTCTTTTGTTTATGATCATTCCAATTATCTACATTAATTATTACAGATCAAAAGGTGCTTTTCTTCACTATCTCGTGACTCTTTTACCGACTTTCGGGTGAAAATAATGAAGTCTTCAAAACGTAAATAATCTCGACCTCAGAACCTTCAGCCCCAACATGAAGTCATTTGGTATAAAAAAATACCACTTGTGTGAGTTGAAACACAGTTTCATACATCAGAACATGTTACTATTTGGCTCCTTACAATCTTAAACACAATTGCACTTAGAAATTACGTCCGTTCAAAATAAAAATGTTAAATGTGCAAAGGAAAAAGGCCCGTGTTGTTTGAGTAAAATAGTTTACACTACTCTGATATATAAGAGAAAAAAATTGTTTCTTTCACACGATTTCACCTTCAAGAAAAACACGAAAGTACTGATTGTAAACGCAGTGCTTTTTCTTACATGTTTGACCATTAGCTTCTTATCAAAAGCGAACTGCTTTCACTATTAAACTTGTAAAATTCTATTCTTAAGCGTCTGAAATATTATACCTATAATATACAAGGCTATAAACGACACTGATTTTACAAGAACTCAACATAATTTCTAAAAATATGTTCCATATTCATTAAACCATATTTTTCGGTACAAAATAACTACAATAAATGGCAACAAATTCCAATTTCAATTAGTAACTGATAGGAAATCTGATATAACCTCCAACAAAATTCAATCGTACTAAAAATTGTTAATTAAAATTAAGAATGTGAACTGATGAAGACCACAGAGTGGATAATGAACTGAATACTTTACCTATACATTCTACATCACGAAATAACTCTTTTTAAACGTATTATGGTAATGTAAATAATGCTGTATAAAAAAAAGACAATCATCAGTACATTGAAGCAATAATAATGCAATACAAAATTATAAAAACAAAAAAATATTCAAAATAAGGCAGGGGACCTTGAGAAAAGTCAAAGATTAGGCAAGGAGCATTTGTAATGAAAACGAGGTCAGTCCACAAATGTTCTCAATCTTCTCTTAAGAAGATTAGTTTGAAAGTAAGGTTACAGTTTGTTTGTGTTTTTTTTGCAGAGCATTTACACAAATGTACTTTTATGTATATTTTGAGTACTTTGTGTTGTTTTTTTTATGTACCATTTATGTTTCCTTCAATCTCTCTCTGGGCTTTTGAAATTTTGATTCTTTCTTTAGGAGAATCCACCTGCCCTACATCCATGGCAAACATCTTCATCTTCTCCCTAAAAGTAAGTTTCTCTGGTATGGCTGACTGGTAATGCTGTTGATTGTTTCTTTCAGCCTGAATCCTTTGGCGTGGATCTCTGTAAAACTCCTGAGCTCCAATGACGCCTGGAGTACTGCCAGGTTCATATCGGGGTAGGGGATTTTGTGGTGTTTTAAGTACTTCATCAATATCGTCTAATGTATAAGAGTCAGACAAAGAAGTTGGTGGGTGGTCTAAATGTTTCTGACTACCATTTGTTCCGGAGAAAGGTTCCAAAACTTGGGTGGGCTCGTGAAAAGAGACTTTTTTTGGTGCATGAGGCTGATTACCGTTTCTTGTCTCAGTGAGCGCCTGTTGTTGTATTGTGGGCTGTACGTTATTTGAAAACTGACCAGTCACTTCGAATGAGGACTTTCTCTCAGGTACAGGAGGTGCCAAACCTCCTGACCTGTCTATGGCAGATACATAATTAGCAGGCAGTCCAGGTTGATGACTTTCACCCTGAGGATGTAACAGTTGATCCAACCTCATAGCCCCTGAAGAAATGCTGGCCTGAGAATACTGGAAGGTTCCAGTTGAAGAAGAAGAATATGGTTCTAATGGAGGTGGAGAGGTGGGAAGGGGTGGAGGTACATCGTTCTGACCAGAAGGGTCCAATATGTGAGATGGGTGCTGATGCAGTATAAGGTCTTGCTCATGCTGAAATAATAATAAAAAAAAGGTACATTATGTCTAGCCTAATAATTTTTTATTTATTCATTTATTAAACAAAACAGAAAATGTGAATATATAAATTTCTCACATTCCATGATTTAAACTACATGTTTACTGCAATACTGAAAACAAAAAAAGGTTCAAATGTCATTTTGTTTTATTCTCAGGTTATTTATTAACTTGAAGTGACAAATGGAATTTTTTTTCTTACTTTTAGCAAATGACAATGGTAAAGTCGTCTAATTCAGAAAAAACAAGGTTTATCCATAAATAGCAAAGGTCTTTGACACTGAAACATGTAGGACACAAGTTTAAATGGGAACATGCAACTGAAATGCTGGTTGAGAATAGTTAATCAATACTACCATACAAACACAAACTGATGCTCTTGTTTCAATTCCACACAAATCCTGGTTCTTTTAGTTCAAGATATAAAGTTTTGGGTGCCTAACTGACTAGTTCAACAATGAATAAATCTTTACAGTGTAACAGATCCAAAACTGTTGCTACCCAAAAAAATTGAGTTTCTAACAGAAGCCAGTTTTTCTTTTTTAACTTAGCTTCATTCTGCTTACTTCTGTATTATTTTCAAACTCTTATTTACCTGTCTTCGACGAGCTTCTTGTAGTAATCGCTCCTCAGCCTCTTTAGCTGCTTCAAATTCTCGTTTTCTGTTTGTCTCTTCAAGTCGTAGGTGACGAAGCCTTTCTCCCTGGTCCTGAAAAATATATAGCATTACTTTCTCTACAGTAAGCTAAAAGAATACAGTACATAATAATAACGAGGCACAGCATTTAAAAATTAAGAGCATAACAATACTAAATAAAAGAAATGGATGTACTTTGAAGTTTCAATGATGTAATGCATCTAAAAAAGAAGTTTATTGAGCAGTCAATTTATTGTATTTGAATGCCAAAAGGAATTAGTGAAATCCTGTAAATAATACTGATGCTAAACATGGGTTTATCAAATTTTGTAGTACAACCATTTATTCAATACTCTTAGGTGTCATAAGTCTATCCACTAGATGTGAATACTTGATGCAAGGTTTTGATTGACACAAACATTTCAGCCTAGCCCAGGTTCTAAAACCTCTCTCAGTTATGTTCTAAACATTCACACCATTTGTAGTTAAGTTACATTAACAGAAACAGACGGCTGGTGATAAAGTAAAATAATTTGAACAAGTCGGAAACTGTGTGTTGATGTGATATATACAACTTGAGAGAACAGTTTCCAAAGCCAGAGTAACACTTGAGGGTAGATCTATCTTTAGAGTAAGTTATTAAAGTTAATTATAATCTATAAAATAGCAGAACTTCAATGGGTTGATATGTTGGATTAAAGCTTTCCTGGAAGTTTGCTACAATAAATAACCAAATGTGCATGGGGTCAATCCACTAGACTGACTCTGTACTGGAGAGAATATGTTGACAATGCTTTTAAATGTGGCAAGCTTCCATTAAACTGTACTAGCTGTGTTTCCAGGAGGAACCTTCTCTTTAGGCTTTTCAAATCATTCACATATTCATCGAAATATAAGAATTTCATTATTCCTGTGTGGGGTCAAAGTGTGCACACCATGACCTTTCTGTGACAGAGTGCCATTAATCATGGTATTATTTATATGATGTCAGAGTTATGTCAACTATTCATTCTACCCTCCATTGGTGATTTTGTGACAGTTCATGGAGAGTAAATACTAGACAACATACAAATGAAAAAACAAACAAACTATAATTATGTATTTTGGGGGTTCTAGAGGGCTACACAAATTGAAGAATGGACAAAAGTGTATTTATTCTTCACATGGACTTGCAATCAGAGTCAGGCTGATATCATCAATTCACAGACATATTTTGAATACAGCTACTTATGTAACTCATCTGATTATTTGCGTACAATACATATACATCTAAGTAAATATAATTTATGGTATTAAACATAATAATTAACTATACACCAAGGTTATGACATATTAAAACAAACACTCCACTTCAACTATGTTCTGAATTACATAATACAAAATTAGTTCCTTAATGTCTAGATTTCTGTAGAAAAATTCTGACAAGAAATATCAAAAATTTGTATCTACTTTTACTAATGCTCATGAAAAGTTTACATCAATGATGTTAATTTTGTTTTCTTGTACAATATTAATAATCTTGACTTTGCTATTTTCATTTTTCTGATTCAAATGAAAGTAATTATTCTAATATTAGTTCACTTATGTACAAGGTTACTTAGGGGGGATCATACTGAAATGTTCCGAACCTCCGAATTTGTGAAGTGTGAAGAAGACGGAAAGGAAATTGGGGTAAAGGAAAAAAAAAAATCTTTTGGCTATATTTGTGTTTATCAACAACAAAGCAAGCTACTTACACAGTTCAGGATTAAAAACAAGATCAGTATATAATGTAGAAGTGTGAAGTGTCAGAAAATAAGATGTCCTGGTAATGAGAAAGCATTGATTCCTCGGGTTGGATACCCTAACCAATACTGTTAATGGAAATAACATTAAACAAAGAATGAGATAGAACTTGTATGCTTCAATGATTCCGTCCCTGCAAAATATTTGGAAGTTAATTTACTCTAGGAGTTTATTAGTTAGAAAATGGAAATAGTGACATTAATTTTATAACTACCTCAATCTGATAATGGTGACCTTCTTGATACCTTCTGCTCCATTCCTCCTGGGGTGAAAGTATAGTTCTAGCTTGTTGCTGTTGTTTCTGTTGTTGTAACAACTGTTGCTGTTGCTGCTGTTGGTGTTGTAACTGTGTTTTCTCCCACTCCAGCCGTCGTTGTCGGGCGAGTTCTAAATCGTTTTGCATCCTAAGCATTCGTTCCCTGTTCTCTGCTCTTTCCATCAGGTCCTGAAAGAGAAATTAGTTTTATCTCACCATGCATTTTTTCTAGAGAGAGTGTATGTTACTTAAGCTGTTGATCAGATTACAAGTTCTACAGTTTATCCTACTCAAAATTCCATATGAAATTTCTAATTAATCATATTAAATTGAGAAGTGAAAAAAAGGTTATAAAAATGACACTATTCTTTAAAGAGAGATTTAAAAAACTTAAGGCATTTTAAACGACACCTTACAGGATACTTTTTTTATAAATTATTCAAATTAATTATATATATTGTGTGTAAAGTCTTTGAATTTTAATTGCAAGAATAAGGATAATTGGCTCTATTATAGAGAAACAGTTTACATTATTACAAGTTTTGATGTCCCAATCTCCAATTTCACTGTTGTTTTACAACAAAGACATGGGTAACGTGCATAAATAAATAGCCAGTGAACGTAACCTGGAGGAACTACTATTTCAAACCAAAATCACAAAGGAAAAGGTTTCTTAGGAACATTATTTTGTTAATTAAAATGATGAAACTGATACCTTTTTATAATTTAAGGATGAAATAAAATCTAAAATCTTCCAGTAATCTAAATAAAAGAGTTAGCTAATACTTGCTCTTCTTTTTAAAAAAAAATAGGTCTCTTTGTAATGGCTAGTTAATATTTGGTCTACAATAGGGGTTTTTCAAAAATATATCAATAAAACCATTTCGTCCAGAAACTCTAAAAGCATGACAAGTCTCTAAGATTAATTCCTATGTTAAAAGTTAATGTAATGAACATTTATGGATGACATTCAATTTTCAATCTTTCAGTGATTACAAATTATTATTAAAGGTGCAAGCTTATCCTCCACACTTTAGATCATGAAAAAGAACCATATTCTGTACTTGACAGGAATACCGAGGGTACATATGTTATATTAAAATAGTTTTGGAGACATGCTGTTATAGTCCATATCATCATGTCCAATCAGACTCAATCCCAGAACTGTGCATCTTGACAATAGCACTGCAGTATAGTTCCCATTATAAAATTTATTTGTCCAAAGCTCACCACTCCTTCCTGCAGGTTTTCTACAATCCATCTAGTGTACAAGAATGATATTTTCCCAGCACTTTCAACAGTCTCATTGCACAGAAATCTATAGTCTCTCTATTTGATTGCTTGAAAAATATGTCTTTGTAAGGAAGAGCATGAACACCTGTTTCACATTCTTCAGCTGCTTAAGGTATGCAATGGTTGAATGATTGGTATGACCGTAAGCCTTATCTTGGTTGATGCATATTTTATTGGGTTTGTTTCCAGATAAGAGATCCTTCTTGATTATTTTGTGTACGATTGACTCAGATACATGGATGGTACATACCATTGAACTTTGTATTCATAAATTCCCACCTTTTATAAGACATCACATTTTACTGAGGTACAATATGTTGCAGGTCTTTTCTGGATGATCTTGGTTCCCCAAGTTGATCCATAATCCTTTGTTTTCCAATGCCCATCTTAGAATTTTAAATCCTTGATCTGAATATATCTTTATGATTTGAGTGTATGAATATGCTGCAGTTTTGGTGGCAGCACACCACAAATGAAATACAAGACAATGTCAAAATGTAGTTATGATATCATTCAAACATGACTTTATAGCAGCTGTGGATGACACGTGACTTCTAAAATCAGGCAGCGCAACATACCCCTGAAAACATTTTGGAAAATGGAGATCTCCTCTGGACAAATTGATGTTCCATTGCAGTACTGTATTTAATAAAATATTTGTGAAACTTGCTGGTGCATGTACATAAGGCATCAGTATAAATAGCAATTAAAGTCTATTTAGTGAGGCATGGCCCTGCAATATGGCCCTGTGTGTGTGTGTGTGTGTGTGTGTGTGTGTGTGTGTGTGTGTGTGTGTGTGTGCCTTTCACTTGTACTTTATCTCGATTAAAAAATTGTATTATTTAAAGAATCAATTATTTTTTTCAGGGTACTAAGGATAAAATACCCCCAAAAAGTGTCAGGAAGCAAATACACAAAATGCTCAAAACTGTTGATGAACTCATTATCTATAGATTCATTGGGTGGAGATAGGGGTATCAGTCAGAATGTTCTGGGGATCTTGAGTTGATGAGGTAGGCCATCTTCATCAAGATATTAAACTGAAAATCATGAGGATAGGAAACAAGAAATATTATATATAGATATATCATAAATGTATTGATGTTCTGGTGGAAGAAGACAAAATACTCACATCTTCATCATCGTCATCATCATCCCCTCCTACTTCTTCGGCTCTTCTTTGGAATTCTTGTTCTAAGCGAAGAGCACGAAGTCTTTCTTCCTGTCTAGGATTCCTAGATGGTAGACTTTCTAGTTCTCTAATTTCATCATCTCGAGCACGCCGAGCTCTTTCCTCTCTCTGTTTTAATTCCTATTAATAATAAGATATCATGAATTATACTTCAAAAATAACATGAATTTGTAGGATTTTTCCTACTTAAGTGATAAAAACAAAAACATGCAAAAATGAAGAAAAATTAAAAACCGATTAAATCAGAGCATCTAAGAACAATTTATCAAGTAGGTTAACAAGATGAGTTGAAGTTTAAACATTCTGTCTAGTTGATTAGTAGGACTGTAAATCTTTTTGCCCTCTGTCAAGTAGAGAAAGTGGCTTTGTTTCTTTTAATTTCTGTCAAATATTATGGCAAAGATGCAGATAATTCAACTTCTGTCAATTTAAAGGAAGAACTGAATATTGTTAACACCTTTTCAAGGTTGGTCAATGTCAGGACTGATGCATAATAAACAATATGTCAAATACACTAGTATGGCTGCAGTATGTTTAACACCCTGACAAGGTTGGTCAATGTCATGACTGTTGTAAAAAAAACAAGACATCAAATACACTAGCACAGCTGCAGTATGTTCAACACACTGTCAAGGTTGGTCAGTGTCAGGACTGCTATATAACAAGATGCCAAGTACAGTGGCAGTGCTGCAGTATGTTTAACACACTGTCAAGGTTGGTCAGTGTCAGGAATGCTATATAACAAGATGCCAAGTACAGTGGCAGAGCTGCAGTATGTTTAACACACTGTCAAGGTTGGGCAGTATCAGGACTGCTATATAACCAGATGTCAAGT